GTCTTGTTCTGGCTCTGGCTGGTCTTGAATTCATGAGCTCAGGAAATCCACCCACCTCGGCCTCCCAGAGTTCTAGGATTACAGGCGTGAGCCATGGTGCCCAGCCACAGCTTATATACTTTCAAAGTCTTTGACAATACGTCTTAAAGTCTCTAGTAATGGAAGGGGTATTATTATTAGTACAGTTTTAATCAGAGATGTTTTTAGTGAGATCAACTGACTTCAGGGAATAAATGTTTGGATAAAAAAGTGAAATAAAAGGGAAGGACCCTTCTGAACCTGCCAGTGACTCTGCCACGAGTTGTCAGTTGTCAGAAAAGCTAATTATTCTATTCTGAATTCACAGCATTATTTTGTATTTTAATATTTAATCTATTATGTATTTGGCATCAACACATTTTACAATTCGCATTATTCATTGAAATTTCACTAACTTTAGGGAGGTTAAAAAGTTATGAACATTTAAAAAATATTATCTAATCAAAACTCCCTGGAAACACAGAATGGCCAGATAACGTTTTGAGCCTTTTAAAGTCAGAATACCTGGGAATTGTTTATTTGTTTTCATTTTATCCTTTTTAGAATGTGAAGTTTATTCTCACAGAAATGGCTGTGAGAATTTCAACATTTCTAATGTTGAATTTCTACTGTTGAAATTTGCCTCTATTCTCTCTCCTTCCCTCCCTTACTTACTTGCTTCCCCACCTTTTTCTTTGTTTCTCTTCTTCCTTCTTTTCCTAATAATTTTGTTTATTTATTTATTTTTTGGCCAGGGCTGGGTTTGAACCCACCACTTCTGGTATATGAGGCCCGTGCCTTACTCCTTTGAGCCAAAGGTGCCTCCCACCTAATAATTTTAAGTAGAGCATTACCTAACTGCTTCATTTATAAAATCTGTAACATTTTTTATGACATGAAGCACCAAAGCACAGACTTGATTTCTCTGCCCTGCTCTTATTCACCTATATGTATTTTTTTTTTTAAGAAATTGACTTCTTTCCTCATGTATAATTCTAGCTTTTAAAAATGCCATTTGCAGGCTTATTTTCTCTAGAGGTCTTTTCAAATTTCTTCACTGAATTATCTTCCCCTCTTTGAACATGATCATGTTTTACCTATCTTGTTTCTAACCTTATCCAATTGCATAACAGGGTCATTCCTTTACTTAACTCTTCCAAAGATATAAAGACATTTGGAGAACACATTGTGCCTTATTTAAAAAAAAAATAAATTGATGCTCAGAGCTTATACCTCAGTGGTTAGGGTGCTGGCCACGTGAATTGGGGCTAGTGGGTTTGAACCTGGCCAGGGCCTGCTAAACCACAATGACAACAATAACAAAAAAATAGCCAGGTGTTGTGATGGGAGCCTGTAGTACCAGCTACTGGGAGGCCAAGGCAAGAGAATTGCTTAAGCCCAAGAGTTTGAAGTTGCTGTGAGCTGTGATACCACTGCACTCTACCAATGGCTGCATAGTGAGACTGTCTCAAAAAAAAAAAATTGAATTTCTGCAGCCTGTGTGCAAAATATCTTTCACCTACTCAATGCTCAAGAAATATTGAAGTCTATAATACAAAATAAAATTAGAAATTGACTTCAACCAGAAGTCAACCAGAAAATCCAAGCCAAGTTCTCATTGTCTTATCATTCAGTTTGTTAGCTTACTTGGAATCTATGAAATTGCTGGGATAATATTCACAGCAATTACTTGGGATTCAATGCATGAGAAAATAGAATGATTTGGTTCTCAATGGCACAAAATTCAGTCCCAAAATACTCACTAACAGAAGACAGGATGTCTGGCCTCTAACCGGCACTGGGGCGGGTAGACGATCCAATTGCTGAAAGAATTCATGTAGCAACAAAATCTGGCCCAGGTAGCAATAAGAAATGACACGTCACTGAGTGGTTAACATTTTTATTTCAAAAAGCAGGATATTGTATATATCATTTTCTGAGAAAATAATTAAGAGACTCTAATTAAATGAATTCCATGTTTTTCAACACAGTAAGGAGGTACAGAATTTTCCAAATATGAGTTGACTCATATTTAAATACGATGCAATTTAATTGAGAATTTTGAGGGGTGATTTCTGCCTTTCACAAAATGAAAGCTCTTTTCTTAAGGGCTTTATTTTCTTAAAGTTACAATCTCAATGTATGTTACAAGGGCTTAATCTTTGAATATATGGTCTGTATTGGATAATTCTTTGAAGGTGACATGTGCCATACAAAGTCTAGTTTCCTTTTTATAACCAATAAACAGCAAACTAACACACAAAAAAATGGAACTATCTAAAGTCTTTCCTTCTTCAAGTAGAATACAGTCTGAATTTCAAAACAGATTCGTCCTTAAAAACTGCAACCGCTTCCCATCCCCCTAAAAAGGGAAAACAGAACAAAATGTGGAAATAGGTACGTGACTTATTAGTATCACTGGATTTGAGTTTCTGCCTGTAGCAGACTATTTACACTAAGCATCTGAGCCTTTGCTTTATTCTGATTTTGAACATATGAACCGATTTAAAAAAAAAAACTGTTAAAATGTTATTTTTTTTCATTTTCTACAAGATATCACCTTTCACCACAATGTGTATGGACCAGGATTTTTAATCAAAGACACATGGTATACACATGGAAATGGAAAATCATATTTATATCCTTTAACATTTCGGCTTCGACATAGATACCGCCATCCCTGTTTCTTAGAAATGTGGACATCTAGGTTTATTTTGGACCCTCTCTATGCTTACCAGGGCTGCATTTGGCAGTGTGTAGCAGAGTACATATCTCTTTTCCTTTTTCTCTGTGTGCTGTAAGTCCAGGGTTAATTTTCATTTAAGAGCTTCATCCACTTAGAACTTTACACCACCACGTCTACTATATTTAAAAGACGTTGACTCAACAACTCAAAGACTGAAACACACATAGAAGAAAAATTCTCCTCACGTAAGTCTAACATTTCTAACTGAACATTTTAATATACATAGAACTTTCAGTTCAGAGTGTTCCTTAAAATATATAGCTTTCACATGAAACTGTCATAAAAATGGGGAGAATGTCTTCTCTGATTTCAAAACCATCAAAGTAGGTTTTTAAAATCTACTTTCCAAACCCCAGGAGGAGTGTACGTGAAGGGCAAGCACATTAGTATCTTTAGAAAATGAGTTGGGAAAAGTCAAACTTGATTCATGGTTGAAAGTTTGTTATTGGTCCCAATGAATCCAACTGACTGAAAATGTAACTACTATTAGCACTGATTATGGTTATAGAGCTACATGGAAGAGAAACTGTATCCCATTATTTCAATTATTGAAATCTTACAGGCAGGTTGTTTAATTTGTCTCATCCCACTGTCTATCCAACAGTTTTCCACCGCACAGATTGTTAAGAATGATTCACAAACTGTTGCTGTCTTCAAACTACAAAAGGTAGCCAAGAAATAATTGTGTGTTGTAGCGAATATAAAATAATTTGTGGCTCCAAAATATGTGTTTGACATAAAGCCTGCCTGCCCATTGTAGAAAATTTTGTCAATTCATGTGAAAATATTTATTACCTGTAACCATAGATACGCAGAATCGATGTGTGTGTTATGAAACATTGTTTCAGTAATGCATTGATTACTATTTTGAGATTTCTTTTGGTCTAGATTACCGTTCTGCCAAATAACTTTTTTAAATTTGCAATTGTAATCATAATTTTCCTGGGAATGCTAAATTACGTCTTTATTTTATTCAAAAGCTTTTATTTCTGAAGCAATTAAACTTATTGTTGATTGATATTTACCATCCAATGTTCCTGGAACTATAAAGAATACACTGTATACATAATCTTCCATTATAGCACATTGCTTAAGAATAGCTATTTGATATAACAGTATTCAGTTGAGTTTTCAAACCGAAGAACTAAAATCATAGCAATTTCACTGGAAATCCATAAATCCATGCACAGGTTCATGTTCAACAGAATCACTAAATGCTATTTGTTATTCAAAGATGAATGAATCAATAACAAAATAGAACTGATAAATCATTAGCACTTTAATGCAGAGTGGAGAGAGAAACTAATAAATCATGCATTTCAAGCACTCTTTTCCTTATGGCATGTTTGAAAACATAAAACATGCGATGATGAGATGCAGGTCAATAGGAATGAACAGTCCCGAGACTGCTCACAAGCATTGCTTTTCATAGAAGAGGCTTAAAGAAACAATGAGGAAAATACCACTCCATGATTTCTTTAAACAATCAGAGAATCTATCCGTGCCATGAACACCTTTCAACAACAATCTAGGCCATTATTTTCCAAATAAACGTTTGAAATGTCACAGACATGGGAGTACAGTGGGTGAAGGGGAGGGGGCTAATTGCATGCATGATTTACTTCAATGAGCTCAAAATTATTACGGGTACCAATTTATACTAGAAAGGAACCGATATAATCATTTACTTCCTTCAAGTGTACTTAACTGACCCATTAAAAATTAGACGCCTATATTTGTAAATGACCAAAGAAAGCAAGAAATTAGCCATTGAGCTTTGTGTTATATCATCTATTGTCTGTGAAAGGTGAGAATTTTAATCATAATTAATGGGTAACTCACTCTCAGCATCTTAGTCATCACAAAATTAATCATAAGAACCATAAATTTGCTCCACAATGCTTAATTAATTATGCATTAACTCGTTTCTCTCAAGCATCTTTTTTTGAATCTTTGGTGGGAAACACATTAATTAGGCACATGGTTTAAAATATCTATTTGGTTACTGATGTGATTATGAATTCTCTGTAGATTCTCAAGCAGAAAGGAGTAAGGCTTGTTGTAGTACCATATTTCACTGCCAAGTAACATTAACATGTTTTTACTTTTTTTTTTCTGGAATTAAAACCAAAACTAAACAAAATAAAAACCATTTTCTATTTTCTAGCACAAGAAAACTTTATACCTGATATTTCAATTTTCAACTGGAAGCGTTAAGATTTTGAGGAAAATTGTTTATATATAGCAAGGTATCATAAACAACTATGTAATAAAACCTTTGAATCAAAAGTTTCTCCACAAGTCATAGGTCAAAGGTCATTGATACATTGATTGGAAGAGGAAGAAATAGCAATCCACAATAATGGTCATTGGTGCATTACTGATTAGTGCTTAGAAATAACTGGAATCATACCGAGAATCACATTTCCCATGATATCTCCTTTTGCATGTTTCACAAATTTTTCACACAGGTTATTAAGTGGAAATTGGGGAAGAGATGGGTTGAAGACATAAAAATCTATGGAAATGCATGCAACAAAAATATGCAGTATCACTTCATGTAAACTTCTGCTTTTCTTCATGCAAAGATGCCTATAAAAACTGAGACAATAAATTTTCTAAGAGCTGAATTTTACATTAGCTCAGTAACAAAAACTATTAAACCAATTCCATAATTTTGCATGAGCAGGAGACTTGAAACGGTTCAAAGATTTCCAGCATAAGTGTTCCATGGCCCTACTATGCTATTTAAATTTCTAAGAACAAAACGATACAGGATTATTCCTTGCTTCGGTTTCTTGTCCTTTTGACGAGTGAGCAGAATAACCCAGTTTTTGGAGGAGGGCCCATCAGCATAGGAGCTTGGTTCTTGTGTGTAATTTTTATCTAGAAAAAAAGAGAGAGTAAAGTAATCTCCAGATACTATACCAATTTCTGAAAATCTCTGTGAAGGTTAATAATATCTCATGAGTTACTGAAATGCCACAAGTATAAAATGTACTTCCAGAGTTTCCATTATTTCAGAAAATATTTTTAAAGGACGTAAGAATAGGCATTTAAATCATATTTCACAATGCTCAGGATACTAGCAAAAATAAAAACTAGCTGAAGTCACATTGTAAAGATCATGTTACCACTAACCTCACTTGCAGTCAGACCAAAAACTCTTTATATAACTATGCAGTATGATTTCTGGACTGTTAGTTATGCATTATTTATTGAAGGCAGAAAAGTGTGCACCGTTAACAGTATTCAGAGCCCCAGTTATAGCCGAAGTATCAAGGCGAGCCTTATTTATCTTGCTAATCAGATTGTTTCTCTCTTTCAACACGAACTGCAAGGCTTAATTTCAAAACAAGCATTAGGAATGAAAGTCAAAGTTAACGTGCATAAAAGGTCAGAAATGATGAACTAGCTTTCTAATTTGTTAATTAATTGGTAATAGAATAGAATCAAATATTGAAAAGCCTGCTTAAAACATTTTGAGAGACTGCTCTAAAGCTACTCGTTTTGATTTCTTTGATATAAAACTACGAATCACCTTAAATGAGACAACCTTAAAGTAGATTATGTCTGCAATTTTCTCTAATTCAACTCTAAATTAGAGAAGACATTTTATGAATATATGCTATGCTCAAAGCTAATTGAAAGCAATTATCAAAGTGGCATTTTGTCTGTGACTTTAAGATACATTGTAAGATAATAAATGATTCTCATTATGTAATAAAAAGGTCACATCTTGCCTTTGGGCTAGTGACGCTAAGAGTTTTTCAAAAGCAATCTGAGACATTTTCTTTAGTGAACTGCGACGAATACAAGAACCATCACTGATTAAATATCAGTTGTCACCTGCACAGAATTCGCATCAGAGAGGAGTATTTCTTTCAAAAAGAAACACCACCTCATTAAAAGCTGCAAAAATATATCTCTTAAAGTGCATGCCTGACATTTTCAAGTTAAAATGAATATCCTTCACTTGTCATTCACTAATAGCAACGAAGCAAAAAAAAAAAAAAAGTATGTCACGTGAACAGGATCATTAAAATCAGCAGTGGGGGTTTTGGGACATGGAAATTTTCTTCATAGAGTAGAAAGACTGAAGTACGTGAAAAACCCGGGAAGAAAGAATGAGCAATTTTATTTAAGTTTGTTGGAATCAGGTTATTCTGGAAAAAATTCAGTGTTCTTTCTCCTATAAAAAAAAAATTGCACCTGTAAAAGGCCACTAGGCTGAACCAGCCCCAAACTCTATGGATATCTGACTTTATTTTACTTTTGTTATCTCGTGAACTGGGGAATTGATCACCAGACAGTCAAGATGCCTTTCAATCTACCTGTCTGTGTAGACTGAAAGCGATCACTACTAGATTTTCTCTCTCAATAATTCAGCTTTGGACTGTATTGTACCTTATGCTACTGATTTTTAAACTCCTCTGAACTCTTAGCTTTAGACAAGATCTAAGATGATATTATTCCTTTCACAAAATTATTCAGCTCCTATCATGCTTCATGTACCAGGAACTTGGAGTAAACAAACAACGCACAATCTCTGTCCCCTAAAATTTATTGTCTAGCAGGAAAGAGAAACAGAATAAGCACGTCGGATAGTATTATAAATGCTGAAATAGAGACTAAGTAGGAAGGCGCCATTTTTTTTAACACTGAAAATGAAAATGAATCATTTTCCACACAAATGTCATCTTTAAATGAATACCCAGGGAAGCAGGTATCACATATTTCTTACATGATAACCTTAAATTCAAATAGAACATTAGTAGCTAAAATAAAAAGGTAGAGATTTCTGACTCATAATTGCTGGACTAAATCCTTTAGAGGGTGTAATAGTGTTAAGACATTTGGAAAATTAGATCATTATTATCAAAGTGTTGCTAAGGCTTTGGAAGAAATGGATCTTTCTAGACATTTATATTATGTAAAATTAACATCAATTTATGACAAAAAGAGTTAAAAATAATAACTCTACCTCCTAACTGTAACGTCAAGAATAATAAGTAATGAGACTTATTTGACTTACTATGTGCTGAACTTTATGCTAAGTATTTTACACACATTATTTAGATGCTGCCTATTTCAGCCATCTCTTTGAGTTACCCCAACAAAAATCCATTGCTATTGAAACTTGCTGTTGAAGAGTAAGAAGCTTAAGTTTGGTCTCATGTAAGGGACGGGGGTTATGACTCATGGTGTATGATGGGAATAATGTTTGTTCCCATTAGACATTTGTGCTCTCTCCAAAGACCACCTTTAGCCTAAGTGAAATTAAAGGAAAGAGATATGGGTCTCCCTGATTAATATTCCAGACAGTATTTGGCCCAGGTTCTTGGTGATTTCTTTCCCGGTTCTTTGCCTTCCAACATCAAGTATTTCCAAAGCTCTAATCATAAAAAGTAGTATTCATTTTCTTCAGGTTATCTGAACATCCACCCAATATTCCTTCCCTAAGTGCTTCTCAAAACATTCTGGTAGGATCAGGGGGGGATCTATTCCCTTTAAGGAATTCACATAACTGCTATTCAGAGCATATGGTTTTCATAATTTAATTTTAATAATATCTATTTCTCCTCTTACCAACCCTAGGAGCCACGAGTCAACATTCTTATTTAAAAAGAGAGGACAAAGAAACTTTGCTAGGTCCTGTCACCTATATAGCACTGCTCAAGTGAGTTAAGTCCACGTGGTGGATTTGAGAATGGACTTTCAAATTTCCCAAGCTCTCCATGCTAATTCCCACCTCTGCACCTTTGTGCTAGTTATTGCCCTGGAGAACATTCCCTCTCTTTTTTTTCCAATCAAATTTCTATCCCTGTCCTGCCCAGCTTAAATAACATATTATTGTAAAATTTCAAAGCACAGGGATAAAAAGAAGATTCTAAATATCCTCAGAAAGAAAAAAAAATAGGTCACTTATAGAAAAATAAAAATCAGCATGGCATCAGGCTTTTCAAAAACATTGGTGCTAGAAGACAATGGAGAAATAACTTCAACCCCTGGAGGAAAAGTTAATTTTATGCTAGCATTCTATACTTAGTCAATGTATTGATTAAACACAAGGGTGGAGTGAAGACATTTTCAGTCACGGAAAGATCTAGAGAATTTACCTCCTAAATACCCTTTCAAACATATTTAGGGTGCTCTCTAGTGAAATAAATGAGTGAGCTAAGAAAGAGATGTTAAAAACAGAGAATTAAACTGAGACCCAGGAGGACATATTTCCAGGAGACCGAGAGAGAAATCTGAAGGGAAGGGCTTCTGTCATATAAGGTGGAGGAGTGTGGGGAGTAGATAAATTCATATGGTAGAGAGTTTTTGTTTGTTTGTTTGTTCCCCTCGCCCCTGAAAGATGGGAACTATTAAAGGATCACTTTGCAGAGAGAAAAGAGAAGGAAACTCTGAAAGTTTCAGGAAAGAACATGTGTCTGTGGGTCAGGACTTGGCTCTGCAGTTGATTAACATTTTTATAGTTTTAATGAAAAAAAATATATATGATTTAAATAAAATTGTTATAACTTTGTTTCAGAAGCAGAATAGCTTAAAGGCTAGCTGGGTCCACCATTTCTTTTCTGGAGATGATGGACAAGTTACTGTGATCATTTCCCTGTGACAGCCAGCACAATTGAAGCTGAGTTTCAGCCACATCACTTTGGCATTACGGATTAGTGGTTTTATGTGCCCTACAGAGGCAGAGAGATCAGATGAAAGATTAACATGGCAATGCAGAAAAGAAGTATGATGGAGTTTAGCTCGGGTGGTAGTGACAGAACAGAGAGAGGAAGGGCAGATCTGAGAGAGTGAAGAGGCACAATCTATAGGACGTGATAGTTCACTGGAAGTGGGGTATTGGGAAAGGGGGAGATTCTGGTATTGTTTCCAAGCTTTTGGTTTTAGTTGTGTTTACAGTGATGCTTCTTATAGAGAGAGAAGTATTTTTGGCAGTGGTGGAAACCAAGATGTTGGTGGCCCCAGTGTTACATGAGATAGTCTGAAGAAGATGTTCAGTCTGAAGGGAGAGCAGGTTTTGAGACAGATTTGGTTGAATGAGCCTGTGATAACATCTACTGAGAAGAAATTCCTGAAGGACAGTGTGGCAAACACGAATAGCAGATGGTGGACTTTGCAACTGGAGAATACTAACATTTAAGGATGTAGCAGAAGAGTGACAGCTTATGAAGAATAGAAGCCAATTCTAGGCTGGGCGTGTCTCAGTGTTCACGATGGTTTGCATATAGGTCATGTAGCCGTTAAGATGTTTAGCCTAATTTGAAATACAGAAGTCTTTATATTTGGAGGCTATATATTATAGGATATTTAAGTAAGCGTCCATGTAATTCAGGGATTGGCAAACATTTTTTTTGTGAAGGACGAGATAGTAGATGTTTTAAGCTTTAAAGTCTCTGAACTATTCAACACTGCACTCCTAAAGCAAAACCGATCTTAGACTATAAATACACATGAATGGGTGTGGCCATGTTCCAATAATCTTCATGCATATAAACTAAACTCTGAATTTCATATGATTCTCACATTATAAAATGTTATTCTTCTTTTGATTTTCAACCATTCAAAACCATGAAAACCATTCTTAACTTTTTAGATACATAAAAAACAGAAAACTGGCCAGATTGGGCTCATGGGCCGACATTTTCTAAACTTTAATATAAATCAGTGAAATGCTTAAAATGATATGTAGAATTATAGGGCATAAAGTAGAAGAAAGAACTTTTCATTGAAAGTCATGATTTCTTGGGTTGATAGCTAAAAGATGGATAAAAGGGGAAATACTGTTCTTTGGCATATCTTTGCTGTACTCTGGGCACCATTCAGAATTCAACCTGTGAAAATTCTGAGTTAGTATACTAACATTCCTC